AAGTGTCGCTGCATAATATTATGATACAACCGTTGCATGAAATCACTGCCCTTTATATCATGCAAACAACATGTCACATTCATCTTCAAGATCTACAACATGTCACATTCATCTTCAAGATCTACGCCGAGAAAGGGATGGTGGAGGATGAGCTATTGTGTGGATGATGTTGGATTGGTGTATAAAAAAAGAGCACGTATACTATGCTCCCTTGAGAGCATGGTTTACTACTCCTCCTTCGGTCAAATGACCTACTTGGGATGATTTTTTCAATCTGAAATTTTATTGGATCATTAGATGATTATTCTAAAAAAAATCAAATTGGAATTTGAGTTTTCTAACATTGAGATCACCCCCTATAAAAATTTGTCAGTTACTATTCAATTTTGAGACATTATTTTTTTAAGGTGCATAGAGGGTGCAATTAGGATTATTTTTTTTTTATTTTTACTACGTTGAATCGGAGTGTTAAAAAGGTTTGGTGTCCTAAAATTAATCCTAGGTGGGGTTTTAACCAAGGGAGTAAATGGACAATATACTCCCGAGGGAGTATAATATATTTTGACATAAAAAAAACTCATCTCCACATCCATGGTTGTGCATGAACAGTTAAATTACAAGTATCCACCACCAATTGTTAAGTGTGGATCGCCAAATGACTCATCAGGCGTCCATGGTTGAGAATGGACACTTGAGGTGGTATGCATCACATTATTCATATGGTACATATGTCGTGGCAGTGATCACTCTTTAACAATAGAATCCATTATAAAAAAAGGCTGTTTTGATGTTGTAAAACCTTCTAATTGATCCTCTAGATATCAAGATATATGAATAGGAAAATAAATAAGATTTCAAGTTTTAGAGATAGTGTGTCTTGCAACACATTATCTAGACCATCCATTTTCTAGTGTTTTTTTTGAACCATTCTTGGAGTTTAAGATTTTATAATTAGAGACGAAAATAGATTTTCAATACATTCTAATAAATTTTGACACCAAAGTTATATTTATGATAAATTTTGGAAGTGCACCTTAATATGATTGTTTAAGGTTGCAACCTTATACAAATCAAACCAATATAAAAAATGGGATCGTATATAATGAGACCATTTACCTTTGATGTAAAGAAGTCACAATTACTTACAAATATCCAATGTGAAATTAGATAGCTTGGGTATATCGCAAAGTTAGAGAAAATTTATTTTGAAATTTGAGCTTGGTCAATGTAGTAAATGTAGCCATCTAATTTCACATCCAATAGTCAAGATTAATTGTGACTATTTTATACCAAAGATAAATTATCCCATTGTATACTTTTCCTAAATAATACATCCTTTAAAAGTTATCTTTTATATGTCAATTGAGAATGAAGTTCTACAAATATAACTTTTAATACATTTCACTAGGGGTATCTTTCAATCAAATGAATATGTTCCTAACGATCTGAGCCTTCAATTCGACAAAACTACCTTTCTCTTGCGATCAAAAGAGAGCAAGTTTCCCAATTTTACATGATCTTTTAAAAATAACAAATTACTAATTTTGTTTCTTACAAAAGTCTGTCAAAACCTAAAAATGGGCAACCTGGTACACTACTATTTTATAGGAAATGTCCAAAGTCCTCAATGCGGTCTAGATAATATATTACAAGATATATTATTTTTAAGATTTCAAATATTTTTTGTCCTCATAACCAAATATCTCGATGTCGGGATGATCAATCTAAAAACTTTTAGGTGAGGTTTATGCAAGGTGTCCACCTTACAGTATTGAAGTGAGGCACACCTTAAATCTATATTGAAAGATGCAGTTACGATATTGGAAATCTTTATTATAGTTTGAAAGTCTATTATTGTTCCCCATTAAAAAAAGAAAAAGAAAAAAAAAAAGTTTGTTATCATTCCTACTTATAAAATTTAGAGATCTAAAAATGATGCAAATCAAGCAGAAATATCAATAATTTAAAATTTTGAGAATAGAATGTCCCAATAATGCATTGCAAAATGTACTATTTTCATAATTTGAAATTATTATTTTTTCACATCAATGCATGCAGATATATCAATAATTTAAAATTTTGAAAATAGAATGTTTCAATAATGCATTGCAAACTGTACTATTTTTATAATTTGAAATTATTCCTTTTTCACATCAATGCATCTAGAGGTTGAGATGGTTAATTTGAGGATTTTTTTTGTATTTAAAGTTTGAAACAACATTTTTCTATAGATTTTGAAAAGTTTAACACTTAATATAAGCAGCAGTGTTTTTTCCAAGTCTTTTCTTATAGGTTATTGACTACCTGCACTTCTATAGAATAGGATCCGGTTTCTACCTTTTCTTATAGGTTATTGACTACCTGCACTTCTATAGAATAGGACCCGGTTTCTACGAGTTCATGTAAAAATTAATCACTTCTTAAAAATCTATTCTTGAGATGGGTTTTTGGACATAATTTTTAAAGGTATGTAGTCTCTAACACGAAGATTATGAAAATTAAAAAATAAATACATTTTGAAATTTTAAATACAAGAAAACACTTGAATGGTTAGTTTCAATTGTGTGTAGATGGATCACCTATTTCCATCCATTTTTAAGATGAATGCTTTATACCTTAGGGGCCGCAACATGGAAATGCGCTCCCGGCCGCATGAAGCAATTTTCGTATAGAATAGGGTTATCCTAGATTCTCTGCAAAAATTACCTAACTGCCCTTAAACCTTGTGCTTGTCCTTTTTGGGCTTTTTTAAGAAATGACAAATCTGCCATTGTCAAAGGTTTTAGCTAACAAACTACAGTCCCCAGCGCATTGTACCCGCGCTTTCAGCCCATCTTTTAAAATGACCATGTTACCCTCCAAAAAAAAAATCCTCGATTCTCGAAATTAAGCAAATATATACACGCGAAGTGTATAACGTGGTATTGTGAACTATCCTCCGTCATCATTGCCTAAGGACGGCAGAGATGACCGGCTGCTGTTTCAGTATGACAGAAGCTCAAATCTTTGCCGTCCATTGAAGATTCTGGACGGCTGATGTCCAGTCCTCGGTCATCTATACACATCACGCGTATAGCAAGAGGGGAGGTTTCGCACAATTTACTAAATTGCCCCTCTCAGCGCACGTGCGCCTCAAGCGCAACGCTCGGGTACCCCCGCCTCTTTCTCCCACTCTCTCTCTCTAAAATCTCATTCCCTCTCTAAATATTAAATCTCATTCTCTCTCTAAATATATCTCTCTGAAATCTCATTCTCTCTAAAATCTCTCTCTAAAATATCATTCTCTCTCTAAAATCTCTCTCTCTCTCTCATATTTATCCCTTTATTGTTCGCGCAGGCAAACAAATTCAACTTCATCCCTTTCCCCGCCTTCCATGTTAGAGAGCGTGCGTATACCCTTAAATGAGAGAGAGATAGAGCAGGGTAGAGAGAGAAGGGGAAGAGAGCTAGAGAGAGAGAGGCCTAGAGAGAGAAAGAGATGCCACTTTTAGGCCATTGTTGGATGAACTGCACCTTTGAGTGAATAATCCATTGGAGATTTTTAGAGAGAGAAAATGGTTTCAGACTCAGAGTTGGTCGAGAGGCTCAAAGAATTCTTGAGCACAGCTGACCTCAACACCACAACCAACTCCACTGTTCGCAAACATCTCGAGAATGAGTTTGGAGTTGATCTTTCTGAGAAAAAAGCATTTATCAGAGACCAAATAAACCTATATTTTGACAGTTTAGAGGGCAATGAGGAGACCAAAGAGGAAGGAAGAGATCCCTCTGAATCAGAAGGTGAAGAGGATAGAGCGGTGGAAGAAGAGGAGGAGAAAGGAAAGGGCAGTAAAAGACGGTAACTTATTTTATTTATATTTCCTTGTCCTGGATTAGTTTGTGTTGGTTTTTCTGTATTTTGTTTTTGTTATTTAATTCTTAAATTTTATTTGAAATCAGCGATTGGTTTTTTTTTGTGTAATTTGTTTCATTTTATCTGGGATAGGAGAGGACACGTTTTTTATCCAATTTAATGTTGGTTTTCTAGTCCCTCGTTGAAAGTGGGTTTGTTTTACTGATTTTTATTTGTTTCCTCTGTGTTATTTGTCTCGTTTCGAATGGGAAATATTTTTTCAGGCTCTTCTCCTTCATTTTCATTTGACATTATGAATGTTTTTTCTTTCTTTCTTTCTTTAGTCCACTTCATTTCAGTTTTAGAAGTAGGTCCTGTTTCATTATCTCCGGGTTCCTTTTGTTTCTCTCATTTTCTTGGTAATCATAAATGTTTGTTTGTTTGTTTTTTTTTTATTTGCTGTCTTTGTTTTGCCTTTTTTGTGATTCTGAAGGCTTGATGAATCTTTAGTGTTTCAGATTTCTCATCACGTTTAAGTTCATCATTCATGCAAGGTTGTAGGTAAATTCTTGTCCTTTAGGTCGAAGGAAATATTTGCCTCATAAATTTGGGCAGAAAACAAGATTGGAGTAGTCAACTCGGAACTATAAGATGCATGATAAGATGTTTTTTTGTAGGTAAATTCTTGTCCTTTTAGGTCGAAGGAAATATTTGCCTCATAAATTTGGGCAGAAAACAAGATAGGGGTAATGAACTCGGAACTATAAGATGCATGATAAGATGTTTTGCCTTTTCATTTCAGTTTTTGATGGAGTTTGATATCGTGGATTTGGAGATGTATTTCATCAATTAGTTTCTGGTGCCAATCTTTGGGTGTGCAAAAAGATACTAAAAGGAACTTCGAGGGTCTTAAGCATGGGAATCCCCTTTTAGCAAACATCCATGTTTTGATCACCACTATATGAGTGGTTAGGTGCACTATTGGAAGAATTGGGTTGGGTTAGAGGCTTTTAGGTTGGTAGGAATTGGTACCAAATAATGCGCCTGTAGAATATTTATGATTTGGTGATGTTTCATGGTGCCTTGTTTTGCTGGTGCATGTTGTGTTAGCATCTCACACATGAATTTTTAGCAGTGTTGATGAGCATTTTAGTGGCGTGGACGAAGTTTTAGTGATATTGATGAGTTTTTAGTGGTGTTGATTAGTTGGTCAATTTGAACAATTTTTTGTGTGCACCATAAGTATAAGGTGTTGGGCATTACGAGACATCATTGTCTAGGACATTGGAACTTATAGCTTCATTGAGGGTATGGCCTCAAATAGAGCAGAATGGCCGATCAGGATTCGTGTAGCCGACCCCAATTAATTGGAAAAAGGCTATGATGATGATAGCGATTGTCTTGGACATTGAAATCAATATAATATTTCTCACCTTATATTCGTGGCTGCAAGAATGTCTTGGATGCCTTGGAATCACCAATGTGAGATTTTAATGTACTGGACCATGATGGATTGAAAGTTTGTAAAGTTTAAACTACTTTCATATGGGTTTTCTGTTCCTTATATACTCAAAGAAGACTAGCATGTTGATATTTCTGTCTTCACTTTCTAAGATCCTGATATTGGTCCTTATTGCTTTTCATAGGTGCATTAATGTTCTCTTTGCTGTTGTCTTGCAGGCGGTTTGGTATTGATATGGTTTGGTTTGTGGGGATTTGGATGCCCAATGCCCTGTCTGAGAATGTTTAAGGTTATGGTTATGGTTATGACCAATTAGGCTTTAGAGAATAATGGCCTGTGGCCATTTTGATATTTAGGTTGCATTGAAATGACAATCCTATAAAACATGAGAGTAGTAAGTGGAATATGAATTGTGTACTTGTGGGTCATATGTAGAAGTCTTAGTTTTCCTCTGTTTGGTGTTAGAAGTGGTTATGTAATATTTTCATGATCAAGAGAAAAAGAAGTTGGAACTGTGTGCATGACTTTGGCTGGGGGAATTTTGTCATGATATTTGGTCTGCAGACCAATCACCTACTTCGATCTCTATAAACTTTTGGCTTGTTAGGTTAAGATCAATGAATGCTTTGTCAACATCTATTCAGAGAAAAAGAGAAAGATCAATGAACGTTCTGAATGCTTTATTGAGTAAAATAGAATGTCAGCCTATCCTTCTCAATGATAAGGGTCACTACCTCAAGTGATTGCTTTTTTGTAATACCCCTGGTGAGTTAATCCAATGGTTTTGCAGATATTTGAGCATTTAAAATAGGTGTAGGTACTACGAAACTGTTTCACTGGTTGATTGCTGTACCAAATTTATTGTCTGATTTGAGCATATTGGCCATTTGGAGTGGAAACAATTGTTTTGTAGTCTCCATTTAATGTGTTGTTGTGTTAAATCCTTTGATCTTTGTAAATCTCTTCTCTTTTTGATACAAACATATAACATTGTCCTGGAAGCGGACCCTTCTTCGTCTAAATTCTCGCTTTGTGAGTTGGTTTTTCTCCCTCATTTCCGGTTGATGAATTGGTTTGATGTGCAACAAATGATATTTATTACTCGATCTGTTTTATGCATTACATTGATGCATAGCTTATTAAACCAATTAAATGCTTTGATGGATGACCTTACAAAACACAACCACATGAAGTTTTTAATCACGTGTAGTTATGCCTCTTTGTGTGCCTCCTGGTGGATTCTGTCAGCTGATCATTCTGTGGTGGATAACATTGTTTAGAGGGTTAGACCTTTGTGCTTTTCAAAACCACTTTAGTCGTATGGATGTTTCTCAGCTACCTTGTACTGATCTTTTGGGAATCTGTTCCTAAACAGTCCCTACAGTTCTTTAAGATCACTGGTTGTTATAAAAATACTATAGGTTAAGTTTCAATCTCCAACTAAAAACATTTAGCCGATTTTCTAAACAATTTCATAGAATGTGAGCTTCAAAAATGTCCATGCATATGGATTTCAACTTAGTTATAGATGGGAGTAACAATGCCATAGGCATACTATGAATTGCCATTTGAATAATAGCTCTACAGCTATGCAATACTATGGTCAATGGCATCAACCTGGCTCTTGTATATCGCATAAAGAAAATTTGTGATGAATAAGGTTAGTTTCCTTGAATCTTTTTATTTATGAAATTCTGAATTTTTATAGGGTTCTTCCCTTACAGAATGAGCAAAGATAAGAAGAGAACTGGCGGAGGTGGATTTTCAAAACCATGTGGTCTTTCTCCAGAGCTTCAAGCATTCATGGGTGTCTCTGTGTTACCCCGAACTGAGGTAGAACTCAGAAAGGGTAGAATCTGTCTTCCAATGTCACTAGCTAGTTTGCTAATCAAAGGTTTTATCTTATGGCCTGATTTCTTCATTTACGATCATTACTTTTATATACTTCATTGTTATCCCTTTTATTTTATTTTTATAGGTTGTCAAGAGAATTTGGGCACATATTCGTGAACACAATTTGCAAGACCCGGCAAACAAGCGGAATATTATTTGTGATGAACAATTACGTTCTCTATTTGATGTTGATTCTATTGGCATGTTTCAAATGAACAAGGTTCTATCAAAACATATACTCCCGTTAGCTACAGAAAATGGTATGCGCATTTACATCTCTCAATTCATATATTTGAACCACTTTTTCTTGTTTGGCAGTTTTTGTGTTTTAATCTCTTGATTATTTAATCAAAGATGCTTGTGTCCATAGTACCTGTACTCATTATTGTTTGAAACTTGACTAGGTTTGCAACTAACTTAGTTGACTTGGTTTAACCGTGTGCCAATCATTTAGACCAAAGATGAATATCAGCTGAGCCTTAAAATATTTTTTAGTTTCTAAACTCTATAATCCTTATTTTTTCGCTTTTGCTAAGGACTGCCCAAGTTGACTTGGGATTTGGCAAGTCGACTTAGCTCGGGAATTGTGATCATTGTTCAAGGCTTGTACGGGGCATGCTACTTCAATGCCCTTTCCTTAGAGAGCTTCCTGTTTACAAAAATCCCTTTGAAGCTAGTGCTTTGATGTTGCGAAATGCCTCCAACTATGACCTGGCATACAATAAAAACAGTAGTTGGCACATCTGTAATTGGCAGGAGATATTTGTCAGAGGATTGTTCTACTTATTCTACTTAAATATGGATCTTTATCTAGCAACTTTAAGTCAGCTTCATAACCCTTGGCTATATAGGATATATCTAAAGCATGTGATAGGGATTAGGGGTTGTGATATCCTGTCTGGGCTCTCAAGAGCTGCGATTTTCCAGACTAGAAAAATTCATTCACTAGCAACTATTTCAATGGTTGTGGCCAAGCTTGGGTAAGCCCCTAATTTCATGATGGTTAATTGGTGATACTTAGTTAGGTCTGTTAATGCGCTAGAGCAACACCTTACTTTACCTTGGTCCTATTGGCTTGTTGGGATCTATTAAGCAGCTGGCTGGATCCATCTAGTGAGTTGCACAACTGACTAGTAGAGAAGATTAAAAGGTGGCTGATGATGTGGCCCAAGGTGGTTAGTAGTCTAATAGCTTTGAGTTATGGATCATATATCTAACAGTTTGTATCCATGAACTTATTCAAGAAATTACATGTGTCTTTCTGTTTCATGCTATGAGCCTTATTCATTCAGCTTTAGCTTGGCTTTTCTGAGATTTAAAGGTTAGTATGTTGTTGAGGTGTTGTTGATTATCATATTGGGATCCATATTTTTTGACAGCTTGCTTTGAGGTGGTGGGTTATTTATATTGTATTTGAGACAAGCTTGGGTTTCACCTTTCCCGTATATGTGTGCCTTCCATGTATCGCTCCCTATATGGTTCAGTTATATTATTAATCACAAGGAGACTTGTGGAACTCTATTGATCTCATTGTAACCGGATATGTATGATCAAAATGCGAATATAATAACATGGATTCTTAGTTCAGACTGAGGGATCTCATTCAACAAAACCAAGGAGCGATTGAACACATCAAGATACTCATTAAGCCCAATAATCCACAAAACTCCGTCCTTTATCAGGGCGACATCTGACATTTGCCTACCATTTAAATTCCTTATGAGAAGGATGTGATATAGCCCAATTTTATTCTAAGCATATGGGGAAGTACCTAAGCTAGGATCTGAAACAAGTTACACCCGAACTAATGGGCCTAAGGTCATTTATGTCTTTTGCCCATTTAACATTAAGAATCAAGTTAATAAAGTTAGTAGTCAGAGATACAATAGTTTTTCTTCTCCCCTGTAGCTCAGGTAAAAACTCGAGGGGATCTCATTTGACTGACTTCTGAAAGTATTGTGAGAAAGGAATGATTTATTTGTTGGGTTCCCTGGGACCTTATCCCTACCCTGTATAAATGCTTTCATCTTGTCCTCCACAAACCTACATTCCAAGCTTCCAGCACAATAGAGGCTGTCTAATATGGCATCTAATTGCTTTAGAGATGCATATATCTCTCAGCAATCTGCACATGGACATACACATCTCCAGCATAGTCATTCATAACCCATGGCTCTTCTTGATGGGCTTTCATCCTCACCAGATTGAGTTCACAATTCTTCTCCTAGCATCAGCTCCTTTTTCAGAAGAACTTGGCACTCCTGTTTGCTTTTAACTCACAATTTCTGCCACCTACTGATTTCTTTTGTTTGAAGATGTTCTCTTGGCATTTGTTCAGGCCAAAATGTTTACCTTTTCAAAGCGAATCTGTTCCTCCTTAATTTTAATTTTCCCATTACAGTTTTGCCCACTCTAAAAGGTGTCATCTACGGGCCCTATGCTCATTCCACCTCCCTGTGAGTTTTTTTTGGGTAAATACCACCCTGTCAGTTATATTAATACATTTAGATTATCCTCTACATCTTTCTTTTTGCAACTATTTTCTATTGTATAAAGTAAGGTCGTACAAGATATCAAAAAATAGGCTGCCCACAACTTTGAAGCTCTATACAAAAACCACTGAGAAGGTGGTAGGGGTAAAAAAAATTATATACAGCCATACAATTACAAAACAAAGGAACCAAAAACCAAAAACTGGAGATCTCTAAGCTCCTGCCAGTGATGCCCCTTCCCTGGCGAGAGCGTCAGCCATGTGGTTCACCTCTCGCTAGATATCCATCCATGAGATGGGAATATGCCTGCAAATGTCAAAAATTTCGTCACAAACAAGAGCTAGTCCCCAAAGGGGCGTGGTCTCCCCTGAGGTCCATACTCCATAGGATGACATTCCTAGAGTCTCCTTCCACAACTAGGTCAGTGCTCCAAAGTGGATTGAAGTTTTTGAGGCCTTCCAAGAGGGCGAGGGCTTCTGTTATAGTGGAATTGGCTCGACCAATGCATTTGGCGAAGGCGAATAGGGAAAGGCCATCGTGGTTTCTGATGATACTCCTAATGATGGTTGTTCCTAAATTGCCAAGCGAGCAACCATCAAAATTGAGTTGGGTTTTACCCAGTTCTGGAGGTCTCCACAGGGACGCTTGAGGTATACGACTAGGCCTAAGAGAGAGCAGTGCCTGCCAGTGGAGATGGAAGTCCGAGGCTGATAGGTGTTTGAAGCAACTGTGGTTTATGGTCCAAAAGATAACCGTGGATTTGATGCTGTCCCTCAGGGCATGCAGGGGGATTATGTGGCCCTGGAAGATGCGGTTGTTGCACTCTATTCATATTGCCCACAAAGTAGCCGCTTCTGAGGCCTTTCAAAGCATAATGCCTAATTTGGCTTAGGGGATATACTTTGTATATTCAAACAAATGGGGGATAGACCTATACCCAATACCAGTTGAACAGTTGAAGTAGGTCTTCCCACAGTTTGCTGACTAGGCTACTGTGGATGAAGAGGTGTGAATTTGTTTCCTTGTCAGCTGTGCACATCACGCAGCGGCTGGGAATGATCATTCCCTTCTTTGCAGTTGGTCGATCGTCAAGACCCGCTGCAAGAGGGCTATCCAGTTGAAAGATTTTGGGGGGGATGAAGATAACCATTCTTTCGTGACAATAGGAGGGAAGGTGGGGGAAGTTGGATGTGAATGGAGTTTGCGGTAAAAGGAGGAAACTGAGAATGTGCCGAACACAGTTAGAGACCAGATAATTTTATCCTCACCTTGAGGAGAGAGGTAGACTGAGTGAAGGAGGGCAGAGAGTTCAAGGAATGTTGTGAGCTCTCCATCACAGAGATGTCTTTTGAAGTTTGGATTCTAGGAGCGAGTGGTGCCCACCACTTCCAAGAGTCCGCAATTGAGGCAATGGTGTCTCTGGCTAGGAGGAAAAGATTAGGAAAGTAATCCCTCAGGGGGTTATGGCCAATCCAAAGATCGGACTAGAAGTTAATTCTATTGCTGATACTTGGGCGGAAGCGGATGTTGGCTCAGAAGTGGTGGAAACAATGCGATATGGATCTCCAAGCGCTAGAGGGTGAGTTGATGGCAACCCTGTGGGGCAACCCGAGAGATTGGTCAAGACGATATTTGTGATGGAGCACAAGTTGCCACAGATGGCCCTTCTGGGTGGCCAAATGTCACCACCATTTGCCCAACACAGCCAAATTGTTCTTTTCGAGTGTGTGGATCCGTAGCCCGCCTTGGGATTTAGGCTTGCACACTGTGGCCCATGAGATGAGGTGGTACTTTCTGAATTCCCCATCTCCGGACCACAGGAAGTTACGCATGACTTGCTCCAAGCGAGCAGCTATTGAGGCAGGCACATAGAAGATGGGGATGTTGGAGAGGGTGGCCTTAATAAGGGTGACTCTACCTATGGGGGATAGGAATGTCCCATTCCAAGTAGCGAATTTGCGATTGAATTTGTCAGTAATGTGGCCCCATTGCTTATGTTTAGGCTTGCCATGGCAGAAAGGGAGGCCAAAGTAAGTTGATGGCAGGGTAGCTATTGCACAGCCCCACCTATCAACTAGGTCTTGGGTGGCCTGTGGTTCAAAGGCAATGCCGATGATTTTGGATTTGGCCATGGTCACCCTAAAGCCAGTGGCTAACTCAAAGCACTTGAGGAAAAGGAGTGAGTTGACCTGCTGCTTGGAGGCATCACAAAAGAGCAGGGTGTCGTTGGTGTATTGCAGGTGCAAAATCACGGGGCCTCCATTGCTGATATTGAAACTCTCCAGGAGGTTGCGATGGTACATTCTGGCCATTGGCCTGCTGAAAACCTCGGCCACAATGGTGAAGAGAAAGGGAGTCCCCTTAGCGGAGGCCCCTTGAGGAGTGGAAGAAGCTTTTGGGAGATCCACTTATAAGGATGGAAAATAAGGGGTTGGGGATGCAACTGTGAATCCATTTTCACCAGTGACTACCGAAGCCCATGCGGGAAAGGTTTCATCCAAGACAACCAAATCAATGTGGTCGTAGCCTTTTCCCAGTCCAGCTTTATTAGGAGGTATGGGGTTTTGGATATGGTTCTAGAGTGTATGCACTCATGTGCAACAAGGGCTTCATCTAGTATTTGGCAGTCTTTCACAAAGGCCCTTGGTGGGGAGAGATTACCCATCCAAAGCACCTCCTTGATTCTAGAGGCTAGGACCTTAGCCAAAATTTTGTAAGAACTGTTTATCTGGCTAATAGGTCTGAAGTCCTTGAGTTCATCAGCCCCT